CCTGACAGCTGCTTGGGTTTCCCTCTTCTGGCTATTTGCGATGGTGACTTAAAAACTCTTCCTGACTGACTGTTCAGTCAAGTAAAAAGGAAGAATAAAGCCGTGTAGGCTCTTACAGCTTCTTTCACAAGAGCTGGCAGCGCCTGCTCCCGGCACGACACGCGGCTCCCTTGCAGCAGCCCAGAGCCGTGCCCCGTTCCCCAGCTCCGGCTGCCGACGCCATCCTCTGATTTATGCTGTGCAGCACACAGCCATTAAGGAAGTTTAAATTCCATCGTAATCAGGAGTAATCAGCACCGCAGGATAAGATTAGTAAGTAAAAAACTGCGGTCCCAGTGATAAAAATAGCCTGGCTGGGGCAGCGTGGAGCTGGAGGGCGGCAGAGCTCGGGGCTGCAGAGCAGGACCTGGAGGAAGGTGCAGGGCCTCTGGACCTTTCCAGCTGCTTCCAGCCCTTTCCTTGCTTCCCTTGACACTAAACTCAGGAGCTAAGTAGCCTGGCCTGCTGGTTTTCCTCCCCTGTGGCCCTGGCGACAGCGAGTTCAGCGTAAATGCCCCCGATGTGCTCTGATTGCCATAGTAACTCAGCCAGGATCTGCGAGGAGATGCTGGAAGGGAAGGGCTGCCTAAGAAGAAATCAGCTCGCTGCTACCCGGATGCCTCCTCCGAAGGCAGTGGGATTCCTCTGGCACACAGTGAGAGCAAACTGCAGCACAGTTCTCCCAAAGGCTCCAAGCATTTGGGGTCTAAATGAAAAGTCACCTTGTTAGCAGGGGCTGCTTCCCAGCCAGCCTCAGCACTCTCTCACTCCACTTCCCCCATTCCCATCGGAGTGAGGATGTGGGGTGCTGCCCAGAGCTGCCAAAATGCCGCACCAGGAGGCCAGAAGCACAAAAACGATCCTGCTGCCCTCCTGCTGGGCCTTCCCCAGCTTTACCAGCAGGGAGCAACATCCATCACGCCTGGCTGTGGCGCTGCGAGCACCAGGACGGGCAGGGATGAAGCTGCTGGTGATGATTTACTTGGCATCTGCTGGTGGTGATGAACTGCCAGCACCTGCCTCGTGCCTGCTTCATTGAAGCTCCTGGCTGACCCAGCTCCACCCGACGAAGGAAGACACAAAACTACAGGAAAGTCACTGGGGGAATTCCTTTATTCCCAAGTGGGAGCAGAACAATTTTCTGAAAGAAGACGCCTGCCGGGCTCAAAGGAAAGCAAGTCCCTCCTGCAGCAGGTGGCTTGCAGGCTCTGTCCCCAGCTGGAGAGCCACCAAGAAATGTGGTAAGTAGAGTGAGACAGGCTGGGGCACAGCAACGTGGCACTGCCCTCCCAAGCACGGCTCTCCCCGAGCCCGGATCAGCCCCTGGAGCCCCGGACACCCAGCGGTGGCTTCACCACCACCAGGGAGAGCAAAACATCTCACAGAGTGCAAGCCCATTTCCATGGGTTTCCACTGGACAAATGTTTCTCTCTGTCTCGTCACACCACGACGCCCACGAAGCTGCTGCAAGCTGCTGTTGCGTTGCTCCACGCTGCTAAGGACGAGTTATACTCGTCTTCAGGAGCCAGCCTACGTCCCTTCAGCTGTTATTATCTTGTCAAAAGGGAGCGCTGGGGCCAGCCTCATGCTCGCTAGCTCTTGCCCCGTCTTGTTGCAGTCACTTGGCACCGTGGCTCTTTTTTTTTTTTTTTTAATTTTTTTATTTTCAAGGCTCCAGCTTGCATTTGCATAGGAACGTTACTGGAGCAATTTCAGACCTAAACGCCCAGCTTAACCCTGCTGTGCCCTTAGGAAAACTCTCTTCCCCTGCCTCACACAGACACACGTGGGTCAGCACGCATCTGGCCCCTTTCCTCTTATCCCACCCTCCACACTCACTCACCATGTGAGCCATGGAGAAAGCCTGTGCTCCGTCAAGGCTAATGAGATCTTTATTTTACATTTGATCTCTCCATTTAAAGCTTAATTACTGCCCTAGAAAGCTCTGGTCCTTGGAAATCGGCAGCTTTGTGTGAGGGAAGGACGGAGCCCTCAGCTCTTGCACGCTGCACATATGTCTAATGCATTTCAAGATTTTAACAATTTCTTCACCAAGAAGTTGCTCTGAATAATGAGGCCAGACCAATGTTTTCAGCATGGCCCATAAGTAGATAAACATAAACGATCATATAATAATCAAAACACCAGGGCTCTCATTCAAGGCTCTTTCCGACATCCTCTGAAGTTAATGGAGCAGTTACGACCCATCAAATATACATAAATATTACTGTAGGCAAGAGAAAACGTTCCTAAATGTAGCTGCATGCCTCATGCAGTCTCGCCACGTTTAAGAGGTGAGTGTCCTTCCTCAGCCAGCACCACACTGCAGTTATTCAGACAGAAAAAAAATACCCAAACCTCGTACTTCAGTTTGGGAGAACTTTGTGCAGGCAAATCCAGAGAAAATGTGTAATGAAACGTTGTGAAATTTCACTTCTAACATTTATTTTGCATAATGTATTGGTCGTTTGGTCCAGAATGATAGCTGGTACAAAACCCTACACCTTTAATGCGAAGGGAAACAAAAATCTTCCTTCTGAGGAAGGTGCTGGGGCTGAGGTGGGGATTTGGGGCTGACCCAGCTTGTGGACACTGTGCAGAGGGAGCTGGTGTCTTTTCCTCCAGCCTCATTTTGTGTTTCTGCTTTGGGCTGAGAGGTAAAATTATCTTTAAAAGGAGAAAGAGGGGGAGCTGGGATAATTCGTGAGCCCTTTACCTTGGAGTAAAGGGTCAGTGGCCACAAGCCTTCGGGTACCAGCCTCTGCTTTGTTTCCCGGAATAAGACAGCCACGCTCTTTTTGCAGGCTTCACATGCACCAAATTCATCCAGACAAGAAAAGAAATAAACAACTAAACCAGCGAGGAGAGAGGCGTCCCCAGTCTTCTCTTACAACAGCTTCAATCACTCCAGATGTCGTCACCGCTGCGAGAGGTGCCCCTGGTTGTGCCAGCCCTGACGCAGGGAGGGGAAGCTCCTGTGGGAAGTGCCAGGACCTGCCCGGCAGTGGCCATGCGTCATGTTTCCTGCTCTCACGGGCTCTTTCCCTGCGTGTGCTGGCCGGGCAGCCCACGCCACCACATATTTCAGGAAGGTCAAGCAAATAACAGCATTGGCCAGGAATTATTTTAGGTCTCCCCGTGAAGCGATGCGTGCTGAGAAGATGCCCACAGGGCAGCCCTGTTGCCATACAGATGGGTGCTTCGACAGAGCAGCTCCCTGCCATGCCCTCATGCTTTCTGAGCTGTCATAAATCTGGTGGGGATCGGTTAAAAAAAAAAGCTTGTTCAGCTCTTCTGCCTAATGCATATTAATGTCCTGAAGGAAAGCAGTGCATTATTTATTCAGGAACCAGCAGGCAGCCCCTCCAGCTCCAGAGAACCTTCACTGGGTCCCAGCGAGGCTTCTGGGGAAATCCCACCGTACAGTGAGGGCTTCCCTCTTCAGCATCCCCCACAAGCTGGGGGGCAAACCCTGGGTGGCTGCTTCCTGGCATAACTGAGCCTCAAGGCAAACAATCCCATGTATCAAGTCAAACAACCCCATATATCTGCCACCTCCTCACGCACTGGCGGCGCTTCTCGCAGCTCCAGCGCAAGCATCGGGACCCCACTGCTGGGAAACGTGGCTGCTCTCGTGCTCGCTGGGGTAGCGCCTCGCTTTGCTCTGCCTTTTGCAAGCCGTGAGTCTTTCCGAGTGGTGCTTTTTTATCACCACGCAGCGCGGCACATTTATAGCACCACTGCATAATTAACAGTTGCTATCATTTGCTGATGACAGGCATCTCCTCGGTTGTTTCTCTCAGGCTGCAGTTTTGGGCTAATGCGGATATTGCCAGCAAAAGGATGACTGGAAGTTCGTCGGCACCTGAGAGTTTCTTGCGATTTGGCACTCTGGATTATAAAATAAATAAAAAAAAAAACTCTTACCACAAAATGTTAAAAAGAAGTTGAGCAGCAGAGGCAGGAAAGCCTGGTTTCCCAGTGGATTTATAGCTGGATCCTCTGGCATCCAACAAGACACAGATTCACACCAAAACGTGGGTGGGAGGGATGCAGTGCCTCTTCCATGTGGACTCTCTGGTGTCTGTGAGCAGCCTCAGCACAACCTTCAGGCCAGGGGGAGATTGCCCTGTGCCTGGATGGCTGCCCCTGCTGGTTAACTGTTCCTGCAGATTTTGCCTGAAATCAGCCAGTGAGCCCAAATTTACCTCAGCCAGCCTGCTCCTGCCAACAAAATACAACAGCGAGCACAGGAGCCGTGCCAGTGAAGCCTAAGCAGCTCTGATAACACTGTGTGTGGAACAGAAAGGTTAAGATAAAGCTAATGGAAAGAATTTGAAGCCCGGCGAGATCTGAGGCCGAAGCAGAGCCCTGAGCTCAGCCGAGCTCCTCTGTGTCTGCTGGTGGGGTCTCCGTGACAGACTGGGGCTGGCCAAGGCCACGCTTCAGTCACCGCTAGCCCCATCCAAAGCCGGTGCTGGAAAGGCAGAGGTGGAGGCTTTATCCGACAGCAGCGACCCCAAAGGGGCTGGGTTTGGCTTCTCCAGGCTCTGCCATGCCTCCAGTGAAGGTTTTCGTGACAGGCTGGAACTTGTTCGCACACCAGCCTTGCCCAGCCTGGTTTCAGCCCTTCCTTTGGAGAATATCGGGTGTCTTTTATCGGATGCTTTAGGAGGATTACGGGTGCCGTGCTGGATGTCACTGCTGCAGCCTTTCTGTCGCAGGGCAGTGGAACAGCCCTTTTAATTCCTCAGAGCTGCCACGAAATCCTCCCCAAATTCACAGAGCACTGACTTGACCAAAGCCTTTTCTCTGCCCTGAGCTGAGCTAAGCACGAGGGTGGCTCCTTCCACCTCCTCCTATTTCCCAAGACAAACATTTCCACCTGCTTTACAGCCGGGTGTGGTGGAAAGCCACCTCCAGTGCTGAGCCAGCACAGCCACGGGTTCTCACCCTTATCACCCCTGTTTGCCCTGAGCCGAGCCGGGAGAGCTGCGGGCCCTCCAGCCACGCCGAGCACAAAGGTCGTTTTCCAGCCCTAATTAACGGTGTTAAGAGCTGCAGCGCCTGTGAGGAGCGTGAGGCTCTGTGCCTGTGCAGGGTTTGGGGTTAGAGCTGAGAAAAAAGGGATTTGAGCTTCACAGCAGCTACATCAGCTCGAGGCCTTCTACAGCTGCTTCGAGGTGTACTGGAGCTGTACTGGGAACAGCCTTTGGTGTTTCTCTGTGGGAATTTTGCCTACGTGGGCAGCTGAAGAAGGAATTTGTGAAGATCTCCAGCACTTCTGGACACCCCGTAAATCAGTCAGTGTCTCCACCAGGACTGCTGGACACCAGAGATGAGGACCTCTGGGGCAGGGTGAATCTGTAGTGCCTGTCACCCAAGGACCCCGTGTCCACGGCACAGTCAGAAAGCCAAGAGGAAAATTCAATTTTCCTGCTTAAAACAACTGGTGGGAGCCATGGGAACAGCCTGGAATCACAAAAAAATGGGAGGCCAGCCTTGGTGCCAGCCTTTGTTGGTACCTGCTCTCAGCAAAGCACTGCTCAATGTTAGCTCAGGTTCTCTGGGTTATCAAAGAACCTAAAAAACAAGATTTGCTAATGATCTTCTATATGTGATGAAAAGATTTCTCACATGAAAGAGCTGGTGTCGGAGAAGAACACAGAAGCAACAGGCCTGGGGGATTATTTCCCATCTAAATTTATCGTGCTCAAAGGTGCACGTTTTAAAATAGGGAGCAGCTGAAGTGTGTGAGGGCTTGGGCTGGTGTGAGCTCTGTGCAGCTGGAGTTATTTGTTACTGGGGCTGCCAGGCATGGGAGGGTGTCAGCAAGAAGCCGGGACAGCTGGCTTGGAGAAGGGCACACGGGAGACGTGGGAGGAGGAAGATTTACGTGAAGGATGGCAGGGGCTGCACGCTTGGCCTGGGGACAGGGAGAGCGCAGCAAGCAGGTGTTGAGCTCCTATCTCTGAGCAAGGACAGGATCAGGCCCTAGCTGAGAGCTTTAAATTGTTCTCGCCTTGTAAATACTCATATGCAAAGTCTGCACCTCGTGCTACCCCATAACCAGCTCTTTTCAGCTCCAGGACTGACCTCGAAGTGTTATTGTGTCTTGCCTGACTGGAGGTGTGCGCTGAGGGTTTTCACAGAAGCATAACTCATCCTCCTTGGTTTTCTCGTGCAGTTCCTAAGCAGGAGCCAGGCTAAAGTACAGAGCGAAAGAGCAGCCCTTTGCCTGTGTTTGTAGCAGGCTCTTTGGATTCCTGCCTTTAAGTCACACGGGGATTTCAGCGTGAGGGTAACGGGGCACCAGAAGAGGAAAGAGCTGCAATCCAGCAGATGTTCCTCGCTGATTTCTTCCTGAAGCAGCAGACCGCTGAGGCTGAGCCAGCACTGCAGACCTGGGAGCACCAGCAACATGTGTGGTGCTTTTGGATGCCCAAGGCTGCTTTCCTTCCATGGGGCATGGTCAGCAGCTGCGGAGCCCATTCCTGTGTGCTCATTGCAGGATGTGTCATTCTGGGATGTGTCCTTAGCCTCTGCTTCCCCGCCAGCACCATTTCACAGACTATTTGGCCAGCAGAAAGGGCTTCAAACGGCTTAGCAGTCCCAGAACGGCAACGAAATCTGCACGTGGATGACTGAAAGACAGATGGAGGGGCTGGCTGTGGAAGAAAAGCACCGCTTCTGCAAGGTACAGTAAGCAGCTACCGAAATATTTGCTGGTACAAGGGTGGAGCCTTGCAGATGGGCTGCAGAAGGAAGCAAGCAGAGCTGGCAGATGTTTTAAGCCTTGATGTAGAGGCCTTTCTGGGATGTGCAACCACTCCAGAGCACAGCCAGAGGGACGTATTGCCCTCCTCGAGGCTAGAGACAAGTTGTGAACAAGGCTGGCATGCTTGTAAGAGGTTCTAATTACAATTGCTGCACATGTTTTAATATGCACGTGGCATGGTGCAAGGATTTTTCTCATTCCTCAAACACATATTTAAATATATCCTCAGACCAGGAGTGAAATCTTTGTATTCTTCACTCAAAATCTGCAGATACATTGGTTTTCAGGATAAGGCGGGGACTTCAGCACACATCAGACTCAAAAGCATGAATGGAGGGCACGTGCAAAAAAAGGAATGAATGCATGAGATTAATTTGTGTGCATTTAAAAATAGAAACTGTACATAATGCTGTGCAAAGCTGAAATCTATTTTTGGCTGTTTACATAGGACGGAAGCATATGTTCTCAAGGTCTCCAGTTCGCCTATGTGGGTTGGTCCGAAAGTTGTGACATGCTGAGAAAGGCATTTGCGCCCTGTTTTTAGCAGGAGCCACATCCAAAAACGTGAATTTCAAAGAGGAGAGACTGCAAAATACTTACAGGCCACAGGGCAAGCTTTGCCAAAAGCTTTGCCAAAAGCTTTTTGCCCCAAAACCTCACTCTTTTTGGTGTGTGCCACAACAGCAATATTGGACAAGCCTGTGAGATGCCAACATCCCGGCTGTGGAAAAGTAGCACATAAGGGGCAAAAGGGGGACAGGAGTCGATATTGTGTCACGCAGGCACGAACTGGACGTATGAAAGCTGAAGCAGTGGTTGTGAAAAATGCTTTTACAAGGAAAAAAAATGATATATTAACACACAGAGGAGGGAGGAAGTAAAAGTCCATAAGGCAATGGAAGGGTAAGTGAGCAAAATGCCACTGCCAGGCCCCCCAGCTATGGTAAGTGCTGGTACACGATGGATTAGGGCAATACTAACAGGGGAGGATTCCATCCTGTCTGGTGCTCTGCCTACAACTGTGTCACTCTGCCCCTGAAATTCAGCAGTATTGTCCCTGACTGACCATTGCACCAGCTTTGAACACCCTTCCAAAGGATCTTGGCTTCAAAATCTAAGCTTTGCACCCTTTCGCTGCAGAGCCAATCTCTTCTGGTTGTGTTTCCGTCGGCGTTGCTCTGCATCCACAAAATGCAGTGCGACCTCTATCACTCTCAGGCCCGGGGCACGTCCCCTTTCACTCGTGAAGATGTGCAGACGTGCAGTGATGTGGCACCAAATAAAATCTCTTGATAGCCACGCACACGATGCCAGCATGTACACATCCCACACGTGGGTAGCAAAGGGCAGCCCGCGGCCGCCAGCCAGCGTTTGGCTGGCGAGGTGACGTCTGATGGATGCGGCACCGGATCAAGAGCGTGCACGCCAGAAAACAAGCAGGAGGAAGATGTGGCGAGGAACGGCAGTGGGAGGACCTGGCAGGCGCCCGCAGGAGCTGATTCAGAAGGGAGATGCAGCCCCACCTGTTCTGCTGGGAGCCAACCTGCCCTGCACCGCGGCACCGCAGCGCTCAACGTGGGTTTAATGACACCCATTGCTCTGAAGGGAGGTAGTCCAAGCTGACTTGCAGTGAGAGCCGAGTGCCAGCCAGCTGCTGCTGAGCAGGACGGGGATTTTGGCCTCGTGACAGAAATTGCACCCTTGTGCATGCCCAGGAAATGATGGGGTCCTAGAGTTCAACGAGATGGGAAATAAGCATGAGAGTAACTAACAGGACTGTTAAAAAATTATAATTAACAAATAATCTTGCCATACATCATTCTTCCCATTGTTTGTAAATAAAATAAGACTGTACTAATAGATGTGGAATTTCTTATACTCCTACCCTATATAGCTCTTACCATCATCCTGTAAGTGACTACGGCCCTTAGCACTCAGTCCTTTTCAACCTGTTGTTCACCACCTTGATACTGGGCCTTGAATTAAAACCTTATTTCTGATAAATTGTGCCATCATGAAAAGATCCCTCTCTTTCTCTCTCTCTCTTTTTTTTTTTTTTTTTTTTTAATATAGACTGTACTTAGGGGCTCCACAAGAACTACAATGCCATAACAATACCATTTGGAGCTATTTTCTCTGTGTATGATGTCCCTACAGGTTGCAGTGAATTCCAGCCTCTGAAACATTTCTGTATGGCTTGGCTTGGACATACTGGCAAGCTCCTTACACTTGGTCTACCCTTAACTACTGAGAGGTATTATTGATTTTTTTTTTACTCTATTTTAACACAGAATATTTGGTAACATCAGTGGTGCTCGAGAGTTGTTTTAAAATAAAATAAATAAATAAATAAATAAACAAGAAGACAGAAAAAAAATACAATATATTTATAGTAATTTGAAAATATGACATCTCAATCTAAAGCCTTATTGTATTCTTCATTTTAACTTCTATTTTTGCTTCCATTCATATACTCCGGCTTGCTTTACCTCATATGGGAGCAACACAAAGCACAGGAAGTCCGTCAGCCAGATAAACTGCAATTAACTGCCTCGTTTTGACAGAGCTATGCAAAACATCCAGCACACAGCCCGGCTTCGCCTCCACCAGCTCTCTGTACCCACCCTGCACCTTTCTGCTAGCCTGTACATTCGTGTGCATGTAAATATCCCCTTCGGTGTGATAAATCACTTTCACCCGGTGAATAAATTCTGAAAAATCATTGAGAGCAAAAGGGAAATTTTCTTTTTTTTATCTTCATAATAGAAATGTCAGCCACGGGGACTCATTTTCTTTTTTCACAGTTGGTTCTGTTTCCTAACAGTCTCTTTGGAAGTGTCTCAGTTGCAAAATGATTTGGGCAATATAGGAACCGAAGCTGTGACCGGGGGCTACAGCACAAGCAGCTGTAGACAAAGCAGCCGGAGGGGTGACCGTGGTCCTCTGTCCTGCAAGATCTCTGTTCTACCGACAGCAGGAGAAGGTTCAGAGCCAAGCCAGAGCTCAATGTGCAGTCAAGAAATCTGCTTTATTCGAAATTCACATCCAGCCCGGTGCATGGCAGTGACTCCCTATGGGGACACGACCCTTGAAAGCAGACTCTGGTAACACTGCTGAGGTCAGCAGCCTTCCCAGAACAGCACCAGCCAGGAGAGAAGCTATTTTTTCACTTCACAACCTTCTTTCTGATCAATGCAAAACCTCATTCTGAAAGCCACCTGTTCCGAACACCAAACCCAAGCTGGCCACCTCACCCTGCAACCCCACAACCCCCCACACGTGCACTTTCAGGGTTTTTTAGAGTTGTGCTTTCCATAAGGTTCAAAACCCACTGACACGAGTATTTGAATGCAGTGTGGACTGTGGATGTCATTGCTCAAGTATGTGCGTTTTCAGCACTGTCATTTTAATATGGAAGAAATTTTTGAAAATGGGAATGTTGGGAAAAGACATTATAAATATGTGTGTGTGTGTGTGTATTTAAATCAGATGCTTACAGCTTGACTGTGTTAGTTGTAGTCACATCCAGACCTACTTGCAGTGACTTAAGTCTCCAAATTTGCTACGCAGCTGCCCTGTCGCTGCTGTCACGCTACAGGCATGACTCGTAACAATGGCACCATTGTTGTTTTGAGGACTTTTTTTTGTAGCTTTTCTTCTCTCTCGGATGGGAAGGGAACGTAAGAGTCATCTAGCCTGACCTGTAAAACGCCAACACCTAGTAATTAGTGAGGGTAAGCGTGTTTGTGTTTGCTGTTTTGTCCCAGATGCAGGAATGTTTGGGGACCCCAGGTTTATTTCAAAAATACAGCAATTGACCAAAGAGCGGTGGGACATCACCCTGCCTCCCTTTCCCCTTTTCTGTGTGGGTGTGCGAGCTCGGGGGGTGCTCATATTCCTCTGGGATATGTGAGGATCTGTCCCAAAACTGATCCTTTACCAGGCCTGCTCCCCTCACTGGGGGTTGAACTCCTCTCACAGGTGATAGGACCAGAGGGAATGACCTCAAGTTGTGGCAGGGGAGGTTCAGGGTGGAAATGAGGAGACATTTCTGTCAGAAGGAGCAGTCAGGCACTGGGACGGGCTGCCCAGGGAGGTGGTGGAGTCACCGTCCCTGGGGGTGCTCAGGGAGAGGTTGGACGTGGTGCTTGGGGACACGGTTCAGTGGGTGACACTGGTGGTGGGGGCATGTTTGGGACTGTTGGTCTCTGACAGCTTTTCCACCCTAGCGATGCCACAACCCGCAGCAGCCATCTCCCCTGCGGCCCCCCCTCGTTATGTAACGGCGGTGGCGCCGCCATTTGCCGGCGGGGCGGGGCGGAGCCGTGCATGCGCCGTGCTCGGCCTCCTCCTCCTCCTTCCTCCACCTTCCTCTTCCTCCTCCTTCCTCCTCCTCCTCCTCCTCCTCCTCCTCGCGGGCAGGCGGCGGCGGCTGCAGCGGGGCCGCGCGGAGCCTTCTCCTGCCGCTCGCCGGGGCCGCCCTGAGGCCGCAGCTCCCAGGCCGGGTGAGGGGCAGGGGCCGGGGCCGGGGCCGGGGCCGGGCGGGCAGCGGGGGCTCGGGGCGGGCCCTGCCCGGGCTCCGCGGCCTCCCCGGGCTGCGGGTGCGGGGCGGTGTGGGCGCTGTGCCTCTTTTTCTTCCCATAAACAAACTTTGGGGGCGTTTTATTCCTCTCCTCGTGTCCTATGAACCCCACTCGTCTTAATTATCCCCTCCTCGAGGCCCCGTTCCGTGCGATTTCAGCCCTATCGGTGCGATTTGTGGCGTTTAAACGCTCGGTTTTCGGCTCGCAGGCGTGGTGCGGAGGCCGATGGCTCCCCAGCAGATGTTCCCGGCTGTGTGTGCTGCTGCGGGGCCTGCCCGGCAGCACCGCCCGCCCGCTGCACCCAAGGTCAGCGTGACTGGGCTGGGCGGCGTGGCCCTCAGCAGCTCCCTGCCGGGGGCTGAAACACAAAAACGCCCAAAATCCTGCACGAAAATGCCCGTCAGCAGCCCCTGGCTCTGCAAAGATCGCTCCGATCGCAAGAAAATGGAACTGAAGTACACCCCGTGGCTCTTTATAGCGTGCGCAAAGCAGCTGGCAGTACCTCGTGTCGTGTTTTTTAACGGGGTTCGTGCCGAGCCGTGATGCCCATAAGCAGCAAGAGGCCCTGGCTGGGGTGTTTCGGGGTGTCTAGGAGCTGCTGGCAGTGACACAGGCTGCTGGGCTCAGTTTAACGCCCTGTTGAATGTCACATCTCTGCATTGGTGGTGGTACAGTTGGTGTTTTCTTGCCTTCAGACAATTTGTTAGCCGTACAAATAATCTCTCTGGAAGTGCTTGGACTCTTACAGAAGCGGATGATGAAGGAGGAGGGCACGCTGAAAATGTAGCCTGGTGCCGCTGCCCGGGGCTGCGTGGTGGCGTGATCCACCCTGAAAAAATGGGAGCGTGGCCGGAGAGCTGCCTGCCAGCGGCTTCGGGTCAGGGCTGGCCTCCTGCGAGGTGCTGGGTGCTCTGATGCTCCACGTCTGGAAATCCCTGTGGTTCTGGTGGATGCCCAGATGTGGGGGTGTTTCAGGGAAGCTTCGCTTCTCTAGTGACAGTGAGGGCTTTTTGTGTGTTTATGGAGCTCGGCCTGTGTTTGGACAGGCTGTCCTCAAAACAGAGGACTCCAGGAGCTCTCCTGTGCTTGTGCAGTGAGCCTCGCGTTGCTGTGAGAGCCACGCAACTGGATTATGCGTGGGACGCAAAGGACTATAAGGAAGATAATAGCTGGAAGTGGGCTGCTGGCTTTTGTAACCACGGTCTGATCCCTGCTGTGGCCGTGCACCCTGGTTCTGCTTGGGTACAGGCCGAGCTGGGTGTCCTGGTGGGCTGCAAGCAGGTGGAGCCTTCATGGTGTGGAACATGCTGCTTTGCTGCTCCCTCAAATGTGGCTTTCGTAGCTCATTTCTGTTTGTGGTGGACCTCCTGATGGCAGGTGGCTGTAGCGTTTGCTTCCTTCGTGCTCCTGGGCTGTGTCGAATAGTGGCTTCTGACGGACACAGCTTTGTGTCTGTCTTTCCAAGAAATATATGTGCATACATGTAAAATCAGCTGGAGATCAAGAAGGGTGGCCACCTCTAAAAACAGCCTTGGATAAAGAGGGATGACACATCATTCTTACCATTCCTGATTCCAAAGCAGATCACAGCAGGTACACCAGAAGACCGTGATGCAGCTTGGGGAATGTTTCTGAGTTCCCTTTCTTCAAACCTGTTCCAAGCTCCAGCAATAAAGGCTGAATCTCCATGTCTTGAAGACATTTGTCAAAATGAAACCTGGAAGCTTTTCAGAGGCAGAAACTTTAGTATGGACTTAAAAAACTGTTGCATCTTCTTAGATAGGAAGACCAGAGGATCTTCACAAAGTAGAGAGCCTGAACAGATGTTTGTTGTGTATGAATTACGGGAGTTGTAGCTCAGAGTGTGTGGACAGCCCATGACTGCTCACGTTTGTAGTTACAGTTTCTGGGTCGGCTAGCAGCGGTAGTTTCTCACACTTGTAGACTAAATGTCTTCTTTTTGTTTGTAGATATGGCTCGTGGACAGCAGAAGATTCAGTCGCAGCAGAAAAATGCCAAAAAGCAAGCTGAGCAAAAAAAGAAACAAGGACATGATCAGAAGGCTGCAGCCAAGGCTGCCTTGATATATACCTGCACTGTCTGTAGGGTAAGAGATACTGAAGGCCGAGAGCAGAACTTTTAGATTATATAGCATAAACTAAAGTACTTTTAAGTGCCTGTCTAGTTTGTTACTGTGAGCATTTATATCTGTTCTGTTACTTGCTTACAGATCACTCAGCTGTATTGATAACTGAGATAGGAGGAATTAAGAGGTCACGTAGTGGTTTCAGGTAGTTCCCTTGCTAAATTGTAAGGGTCTGCATGCGCTTCCAGTGCGCTGTAAATACTTCCTGATTAACCTCCGGGTAGAAGGATCATTCCTTTGTGATGGAATTGGCCTGCCCTAACATCCCTGGTCATTGATGACAATGTGCAGAGGGAAAGGTGGTATTGGATGCTGCCAAAAGCTTTAGTGCAAGTTCCATATACAGGAACTGCTGTTAGGGTAGAAGGCTTGATGAGAGAACAGAAATCTGAGCGCTCTTCAGATTGGACTTTCCTTCTGGGTGTTCTGGAGTGTTCCAGTGCTGGAGCTGAAGTATAAACTTGCCATTTTCACTTAAATGGTCAATTTTAGAATAGATTCGTCACTTTTGAATGCTTTAATCAAGGTTCCAAACTAAGGGCTGCTCACTTAAATACTTATAGCTAGCTTCTCTTTTTGTGAATGGGACTGTAGCAGCCATTACTTTCCAAGCAACAACTGCCCAGATACGTTGTGGCAATAGTCTGAGATTGTTTGTGCCACATAGAGGGTCAGACTGTGCAACACAACTCTCTGGCCTCTTGATAAACGGTGAATAGCTTTCATAAAGATCTGATTTGGAAAAAGATGAATGCTCGCCTTTTAGGTGTTGGAAATGAGGAGGTGGGTTTTTCACCAAGCTAGCGTATGAAACACAAGATTTGCAGGCAGATTGCTAGTAAGAATAATAACTGCTGGTGAAGATGCCAGGGCAATATAGTACTTAAGTACCTCTCAGAAAACCTGAGGTTTAAAATAAATAAATAAATAAACCAGGGGGCGAACAGGTTTTGTAGTATCATCTACCTCTTGTACTGTGCGTAAAGTTAAATGTCTCTCTTCAATCAGACACAAATGCCGGATCCCAAGACCTTCAAACAGCACTTTGAAAGCAAGCATCCTAAGACTCCACTTCCTCCAGAGCTGGCTGATGTTCAGGCATAAAGTTGTCTACAGGTCATTACCTTAATTTTTAAATCATTATTTGAGAAGGGTATATTATGAACCAGTTTTTTGTTTGTTGGGTTCTTTACCTCCACCAACTGGGGCTTACAAGTTGCTTCATTTTCTTTAATATAAAAAAATATATAACTGTAAATTAAAATCAAACTTCTGAATTGTTATATCAAGAAGAAAGCTAATACTTACACAGCTGACGTGGTGGTGGCATTTTGCTGTCTCCAGAGGATGTTTTGAAGGGTATTAACATCATTTGAAATGGTCATCCTTAGAGTTGTAGGAATACTTGGTTCCTTAGTTACTGCTTTGAAACATTAGCTCTTGCACTTTTCGCTTTGAACAAAGTATTTATAATAAATGGGATCTGTGGGCTACAAAACATGTCATGAAAGCAGAATTGTTTAGAATATTTCCAACAATTCAGCCTTCTTTGTTCCTGAAGCTATGCAAGTGAATGCAGATTATTCTGCATTCAAATACAAAATGTAACCTCTGCGTTAACTCTAGAAGAGATTCCCCGACGGCCAGTTGTGAGGCTGTACCTAAAAGTGGTTATAATTAAAGGCTGAAATGAGGCAAAAAACAGTATTATGGCATTTCGTTCACTCAAAGGTAAACAGCATCGTGCAATAGTTCAGCTTAACGGAGTTGTTCTTGTTTTTTGTAGGTGAAGTCATGGCACCTATTGACTCTTCTACTGTCAGACCTTACATAACAAACCTGCAGCTGCTTTTCTAAAACTGTTGATCAGCAAAAATGAAGGGGCTACAGAAACGTTCATATTTTTATGCTGTTCCCTCTCGGGCTTCATGCAAAGACAATTCTGTGTAAATGTACAGTTGTGCCCTCTTTGGAAATCCTGAAAAATCAGTCCATACTTGTTATAAAAAAAAAAAAAGAATTTTTTACAATTGTAATTATATTGATGTTCATATTGTGTAAAATAACTCATTTAATAAAGTAGTACTTTGATTTTACAATATCACAGATTAAACGCCTGTAGAAGTTCTGTTTCAACTTCCTGCATTGTCTGCCTTATAAAAATAATAAAAGACAGAGTGGAATTTTCCCCGTCCTGCCAAAACACGAGCAGTATCGTTCCACTGACAGTAATGTACATTACAGTAGATTAATCTGAAGTGAAGAGGGAAGCTGCTCAGATTCCCTGCTCGATGTGCTGCCTGCTTGAGCTTGGTCGCTAGCATTCAAGTTACAGGCTCGAGAGGCGCGGCCAGCTCCCTAGAAGCTGCATGAGAATTGGGAGACTTCTATGCTTCTGCCGTGTGTGTTGGAGTCTGTACCACGAGCCATTTGATAGGGGGTTCTTGTCCTCCACTGGAGAGACTCTGGGTAGGCTTGTGATCCTTGGTAGGTGCCCGAGGAAGCTGGGAGATGATAGGGTTTAGTGCTTCTGGGGATGCTGGCTTGAAAAGTGCTCGCAGATAGTAGTTAGAAGCAGCTCTGAGTTGAAAATTTGATTTGAGAAGGAGTTTTGAAGATACTCGAGCGTGTGTTTCCCCCTCTAAATGCATCTGGTTATGGCAGTAGCAGCTCTTCAGGAAATACATAAAATAGCCAGCCACTAATAACCCCTCTTCACGACCAGCTTAAAATAAGCCTGTTGGAAGGGAGCCAAAGCAACTGAAGCTATGGCTAGCTTAAGAAATTGCATGCGATTAAAAGTTGCAGTGACAAGAAAAAGCTGGATAACAATTCTGGCCAAAAACATTTGAGAAGCTAACCATGATTAGCCTTTAAACGTTCTGGGCTCAGCTCTAATCCCAAATGCACGGTGCAGAAGTAGTGAAAAAACAGGGTCTGCTGTACAAAAACCCTGTCTTTGGGACGTGGAGGGGGCTTACTCAGAGCTTTCCTTGGGAGCTCCCAGTAAGAAGCAATGCTACAACTGCTGTGGCTTACTGTAGTTAAAAAGGGGTGTAAAAATAAAAATGGTGGTGGTCCAGGTGACGTTGCTGCGCAGCAGGACTGTACCTGTGACCCTCAGATGGCTTCCTGAAGTCTAGGACCGTAGCCTCAAAGACTCATTCACTTCAAAGAATGCACTTGGTATTTTATTATATAAAGTCGAAGCCTTTGTCCTCGTCCCCTCATTTGCTCTTTAATGAACTACTTCTGTGAGACTAGCTGCCCGTCCCCTCTGCTGTGACAGTACCTGTGTAAATACCTCCTTTGACATGAAGTTTCTCTGTACTGGAGTCACTCCAGGGTAACCTGTGTGCCACTTAACTTTTATAGGTGATGTTGTTCTCCTCCGCGAGTAACCCACGACTGCACTTGTACACCTGACATCAGAATGTAACCCTTCATTTATTTTTTTTCTTTGATGTTATCAGTGACTACATCCTGACCAACTGGCTCCCACGAGGCAAGAAATCTGCTCTCAACCTTTGTGCTGTACGGGGGGAGGCGTGCTTAACTGTTCTGATGCTGTAGTTTGTCTAAAATAATGCCGAGTGCAAATGGATAAAGATGCTTCCTGCCCTGACTGCTGTTTGGTAACCTGGTTTTACTTTGGAAAATGTTCTGGGATGTATCCGTATGGCTTGGTCTTGAGGTGAAGTATCTGTTCCTTCGATCCAGATTGTGTAGCATTAAATAAAAAGATTTTGTTTCTTAAAACAATCTCTCTTTATGAGCGCTAAAGAGCTGGAAAGCTGCATCGCTAGCGGGATGGTGAAGTTAGGACTATGTTTTCGAAACTTTGTGATGCCCAATTTGAGAATACCCTATGAACTGGAGTTTGTAGGATGCAAGGGTGACCCTCAGTGCAGTAAGACCCCTGGGTGCAGTAGCTGCAGCCTCAAACACAGGAGCAAATGAAAGCTGTCACTGACTTGTTACAAGGGCTTCGTGAGTGTAGCGGGAATGCTACACGAAATGGGGGAATAGTTCTCATGTAGGTTATCTGCGATATTCCTCGTGCCTGGAAGGTCAGATTAAAGGCTGATTAGAGAGAATTAAAAAAAATAAAATGTAAAATGGCCTAATTCCTGCCTGCTTTTAAAAACAAGCATCACTGCACTTAGGACATGAATTTCCTAGCTGTGGACAGTCCTGGAGCTTGAAGCCATCCAACTTTAAATGAAATAGAAAGTTTCCCATGTCCTCTTGAGAAAAAGTCACCTTTGTGTAGGGACAGCGTTTAGGTAAAGCGTTCTTGTGTCATCAGTATGGGTATGGGTGCTTGTGGAACAACGTTAGGAAGGGATTTGGGGTTTTTAAAAGCCCACGTCTCTTCTGGAAGTATCTAAAATCCAATTTTAAGCGAGGCTCAGAATGTTTTGCAAAAAATCCCACTTAATTCCCAGAAAGTAAGTGAGCACGTGTAGTTAGATGAGGTCATCCCAGGGAGCGCTGAGTAATCGCTACGAACAGCTGGAGGAGCTGCGTCGCCCGGGCTCACCGGGGTAAAACAGAGGTGCAGGAGCTCGGTTCTAGCCTCTCTTGAGAGATTCTGGGTTCTGGCTACCAAAAAAGCCATGAAAAATCTGCAGTGGACATGGGAGGCGGTTGCAATGTAGCCGTAAGGAAATAGTTGGCTTTATGCAGCGCTCTCGAAATGTCCCCGGAGACTGTCCCTCTGGGTTATTTGTTCCAAAGCTGCAAACACTTCAGCTCAAGTGAAGCTAATGACCAGGGGCTGTTTGCAAACCGCATGGCACTGAAGGAATTTGTAGCATTTCTGTAAGCTGTATTGAGCCGTTGCCCTGTCCCGATAAAATGAGCTAACGAGTGGAATTTCTTTTGTCATCAGAGTGGCTCGAGGTCTGCCTTGTTTCCCATTGCCACAGCAGCAAGTCGGGGACTCTCTGGCTTTGCTACAAGGGTGGTCTTCCCGAGCTCTGGCCGGTGAGGTCCATTCATCCTACAGCACTCATAAACAGTGTAAAGGTCATCGTGTGTTCCTGCCTGCTCACTCTACTGCATATAATTTGGGGCTTTCGATTTACTTATTTAGAACCAGACAGGTTTTACAGCGGATTTTGAATTCAGCCCCCAGCCTCAGGTTTGGACGTGCGTCCAGCCCGTGATTTTCCACATCGTGCAGCACCACCAGAGCCGTTGCTGCGGTCCAGGCAGGGGAAAGGCGTGAAGCTCTGCTCTGTCTGTGGAATTTTGCTATCAGTGTTTTGAAAACTCTTTGGAAAACTTCAGTGCGTTGTTTACCGTCTTACGTTTTTTCATGTAGGTACACTTGAGAGTCCCTGAGGGAGCAGTGTTATTGTGGTAGCTTTCAAAGAGAGGTGTTACACAAAACAGTGGTAAATGCAGGAGATGGAAGGGCTGAGGGAGGTCTCCAAAAGCTACCCAGGCCGTCTCCTCGCTCGGAGATTGGGTCAGATCTGCCAAGACTATCACAATTCTTTCTCTTTTCCATAAAAGCTTCCAACCAAGGGCATCCCCTGACCTTGTAAGCAGCACATCCCACTGCTGAACCTCACAGCTGGAGGGTTATCGCAGCAGCGGTTCATCCCTGCGAGTTAAGTCCATTACTTATTGTTCCTACTGACAACAGATATGATGAGCAGTGCCCTCAGCTGAACACTGCCATCATGTCCTCCTTGTGGGCTTCTCTGTTAAGTAAACCCAGGTAATTCAGTCACTCTTCATAGGTCACGATTTCAAAGTCTGTTGATTGCCTGTGCTCTTCTCTGTATCATCTCCAGTCTGGCTGTGTTCTTCACTTCCATATTGTCCAAAATGTGACCCGAAGCGCTGGCAGAGGCAACCACAAAGTAGGTGGAACAGGCACGTTCAGGGACTGGCATACATCAGTTTTATCAGCACAGGCTAGAACTGCCACCTCAATCCTCTAAATACTTTCAGGTTACTCTTTCCACTCCGTGTCGTGCTTTATTTAGTTGTTAACTTCTTGGAGTGTGTGGACTTGAGTCAAAAGTGCTCTTTATTACTTACTGGTAAACCTCTTTCATTTGATTTCCTTCCCTGTCAAGTAATGTACCTCAACTTCATCTTTTTATAGGTATTTATAGACTCTTTGTATCTCTCTCTTATACCCTTGGCTGTTTTCTTTTTTTCCACCCTGCCAGTGAAGCTGTTACCTTGCCTGCTTTACAGCCACCTAAAAACCAGTCATCTGCCTGCCAGAATCCACAGAAATCAAATCACACAGGTTTTTAAAAACACTTTTTTTAGTGTCACGGGGACAGCTTGGGCTGAGCTGGTGTCCGAGAGGCAGCGTGCAGACAAGGCCTCGCTCCGAGCTCAGCGCCCCGGGGTGGGCTCAGGCCATTTAGCCTGACTTGGTGGTGGTGGTGGTGGCTTTTTGCACACTTTGCTCACTGCGAAGATATCAGAAGCTATTTATACTTCGCTCTGATAAGCTCAGGGTCCCAAACGAGTCAGAGCTGTGAACTTTCTCATTAAAGTCTGAGCTGTGCTCGGTGCTTGCCCGGCCTCACATCAGCTGTGGCTGCACGCCAGCAGTACGGCAGTGGGGGAGAGATGCAGCAGACTGGGCTGACCCCATAAATCTCAATGTGCAGTAGCTGCTAGGCTCTGCCTAAACCTGTGCACTGCTAATTAGAGTAAATGAGTGAACGACTTCTCACCAGACATCACTCTGATCTTTTCTTCCCCGCTTTTCAGGATTATTCCTAAGCTTTAATGGTTGCTCCCTGTCCTTCGTTTTCACGTGGAGGCTTGTGCCATCCAGACCGGCGTCAGTTCATCCTATTTACGTTCTTTACCCTCTTTGTGTGTGCTGTGCTGGCGTTAGGAGCCTTCTAACAGTCATTACTGACTTTCTGTTGCAGCAACACTCAACACAATGGCACTTTTTGGTTTTGAGAGGGCTGTGATTCAGATCTTGTGTGCTATGAGAGCTGACCAGAACAGCTGCCTGTGCAGTGGAGCTCCTTCATGCAGGACCACAGGGAAAAATGATTTACATTTGTGACTAGATCCCACTTGCTCGTTTATTTTGTTTGTTTGTTTAGAACATGTTTAGATCGTGATTTACGGAAAATGCTCAA